GTCGGTGTTAGGATTTTAAATTTGATCCGTTGCGCAATCGGAAGCCAGTGGAGGGATTGGCAGAGGGGGGTGGCGGAAACGGAGCGGTTGGAAAGGTGAATGAGTCTGGCAGCCGTGTTCAGGATCGACTGAAGCGGGGATAGCCAGCAGCGAGGAAGGCCAGTGAGGAGGGAGTTGCTAAGGAGCGGCTGTGACCCGGCGACTGACATCTGCGGCGGTGATCCGCGGGACAAATAGGGCGGCAGCGCGCCTCGCGTGCGCCCCCTATTTGTTTACAAAACACACGTTTTAAAACTTGGTTTTGCCTGCGAGTGCCGCCCTGCCGCCGTATATGTACAGTGGCTGGGCGGCATGTAGCTAAGCTGGCCATAGATGATTTGTTGTTTTTTTTGTTTTTTTTTTTTCATTCTGCCAACAGGCAGAACAAAAAGAAAAAGTGAACGGATTCCCATCCACACAGCCTAACTCTCCGCTGTCAGAATACACTGATCTGCAGCTGGCTAATCTAGAAAAATTTTCCCACAAGTCAGTTCGACAATAGTCAGTTTAGTGATCGACTTCTGTCAAACAGGTACAGCCTCACATGGATCAAAATTTCGCCAGTCCCTGCTGAACCAGCTGAATTTCAATCCATCTACTGATAGTTTTAACCTTTAACGGCATCTGGCATCCGAAGCATGGAGAAGGACAAACATCATTCTCTATACTGATACTGAAAACTTTAATGGGAATGTGTTCCATATATAAAGTTCATATTAAAAGTCAGCTTACTTTTTTGAAGTTCATTGGTGCGCCTATCTACCAAGTTATTGAGCATAGCAAGAGATGATTATCTGCTAACGATCAGGAGAAGTACAATGCTTTTTTTGTTCTTTCCATATGGTGTGAAGATTTGCCTCTCTAGAGTTACAATTACCAGACCTGAGTCACAGCTACAATTTAGAACCTAAGTGCACATAATGATATTTATAACGACGAACTTTGACGGAAAGAGACAGGACCGAAGCACGTTCACAAAGCTCTGACTGATGAGGGCTCGGAAGTGGAAACAGAACATGCAATTAGGGCAGACGGAGGTGATATTTTGGGCTGAATGGACCTGTTTTAGCAGCATTTATGTGCACTGCTAAGATTAACAGTGAGTGACAGATCACTTAAACTCTTTTTGCATAACAGTGAAAAGAGATGGTTATTGAGCTAATATCTTTACTGATCTGAGCTGTTTGATATAATCTTACCAGGTGGATCTATTTTTAGGGCATTCTTTTTTTCTGCTGGTAGACAATTTAGTTTTATTATTTTATCTTGTATCTTACATGCAGTGCCACCTCTGAGGAAAAATTCAGTTTCCTACTATTATAATTATTTTCTTTTTTTTTTTTTATCTTGCCTCCCCTGCAAAAGAAAAAAAAAATCCCTGTAGTCAGAGAGGGACAGATACTGAGAATAGAGATTCTTTTTTTTTTTTTTTTTTTTTCCATTAAGGGACGCAGGTATCCAGATACAGTCAGGTTTTACTGCTGCCTACAGGAGGATTGAACAATGGCAAACAGAAAACTGGTATGCTACTCCTTCGTATAACCCAGCAAGCCTATTTTTTTTTGTTTTGCTAGTGTCCTAGGAGGACGGATACCTGTTCTTCAGCTTTGCTCAGAAAAGTCTAGCCAACTTTTGCTAGGCTTTTTTTCGACTTTGTCTTCCATCAAGATATCTTGCTACATGGCTGCTTGAGCTGGTCTATATAGCAGCTATCTGGATTTGTGTTTCCTCAGCAATAACTTTTGGGGCCTTACCTGGGCCATGCTAGACTGGATGTGCAGTGGTAACCTGGATTCTGCATTGTGGCACTTTCCATACCTGTGTGTACTGGACCTCAGTGTCCAGATCCATGGCATGGCCCAAGAACATGACCCTATCTAAAGGCTTATTTTGTGAGTAAGGTCATTCAGGGTAGTACCAGACCTGGATTCTCAGTGTCGCCCAGGAACACCTGCTAATTCTCAGAGCACCCACCCCTGTGTCCAGTCTAGTGCCTTGCCATCCCCATTGTGGGATGCTCCAATGACCTAATGGGAAAAGAGTCAGCTTTATGGATCTTTATAATCATTACTTTCTCATAGAGGCTAACTCCTGCAATATCAGGTGGGATCAGGCCAACTTAGCTCTGCCATCTTTGCCCTGCCAACTTTGCCTGGTTCCAGTGTTGGGGAGTTACATGTCACCAGTGAGCAAGGCAGCTCAGCTTAAGCCCTTGTAAAAAGAAGAAAAAAAAAAAAAAAGCCCAAACCCTGTCCAATCTGATCAGATAGGAAGTTCACCCCTTCAGCTTCATTGAGGGAGTGTAGGATGTTGGGGGAACCCTCCTGAGGGTGGTCTTTCCATCTCCTAATTTTTCCCAATCTCTTTCAGTCCCTCCTTCCCACCTGTTGTCACAAGCTTGATTTCTGAGTAGGCCTGTCAACCAGGGAGTCTCATAAACCTTCAGCCTTTTCAGGTAACTGGGGTAGTTTCTTCCATTCATACCTGGGATATTCCACTTGCAGAAGTACCCCATCCATAGGTATCTGAACTGAGAGGAGAGGTTTGTGCACTGGGGTACATCTCAGATCTTAGGTGGCAGGGTAAAACCATTGCTGGCGTGCCCTTTGCCTCCCTGAATTGTCCCGCAGGTGGACTATGTGATGGACTTGGTATCAGGCCCTGGACAGCTTGGGGTTTATTTACTAAAGCTGGAGAGTCCAAAATCAGACTCCCTTCTGCATAGAAAACAATCAGCTTCCAGGTTTCATTGCCAAAGCTTCATTAAACAAGCTGAGGTTAGAAGCTGATTGGTTTCTATGCAGAAGGGAGTCTGATTTTGGACTCTCCAGCTTTAGTAAATAAACCCCCTTGTGACAAATGGCTGGTCAAACTTACACCGAGTTGTTACTGATACACCTCAATGGCACTCTCATCCTCACCCTGCTCAAAGATTTTCCAGCTTGTGGGACCACAATCTATGTGCCTGCCAACTGAGAGAAATTGTCACAGGGTATGCATAACTAAATAAATCACTGCCTACAAAAATGTTTATTGTAAAATATCATTCACAATATTCACAATAACAATTATGACTTAAAGCGATCGTAAATTGCAAAGAAAAAGTATTGGGCCCCTGCAGTTCTAATTCTAATTGCATGGCACCCGCACTGGAAATCGCAACCATACTGGGAACCTTGGTTCCTGTGCAGGCTGCGATTTCCCAAGTAGTGCAGGGACATCTTCCCTGCATGTCCCGGGGCACAGGAGTCCATTCAAATGAATGGGCTCTCCTGCCCGCCCAAATCGCAGCCCTCATATCCGCACGTATGTAAACCAGGGGTAAATGAGCTTCAACATGCTTTTTCTTCAGCAGTGGAGTGTTGTACAGTGAGTGTACATACAGGCCATAGCGGTTGAGTACATTACTTATTGTTTTCTTTGAAACTATTGTACCTGGTAATTCCAGGTCTTTCTGAAGCTCTCCACAAGTGGTCCTTGGCTCCTGGACAACTCTTCTGATAATTTTTGTTCACTCCTCAGTCAGAAATCTTGCAAGGAGCACCTAGTTGTGGTCAGTGTTTAGTGAAATTATGTTCTGTTCACTTCTGGATTATGGCCCCAACAGTGCTCACTGGAACATTCAGAAGTTTAGAAATCCTTCTGTAACCAATGCCATCAGTATATTTTGCAACAATAAAGTTGCAACGGTCTTGAGAGAGCTCTTTGCTTTTACCCATCATGTGATGGTTCTTGAGTGATAACTTGGTAAGGAGACATCTTTTTATAGGCCATCAGTTGAGACTGAACCAGCTGATATTACTTTGCACTGACAAGGAGCAGGATTGCTTTCTAATTACTGATAGATTTCAGCTGGTGTCTTGGCTTTCCATGCCTTTTTGCGCCTCTCTTTCTTCTTGTGTTCAATGCTTTTTTTTTCCCTGTGCCATTCCATTTTATTACACATAACCTAATTTCTGTGTTTTGGTTTCTTTATATGTAGGGATTTCATGAGTTGTTAATCACTTTCCCAGCACCCTATAGCAGATATACTGCTACTGGGCGGCAAGGGTGTGCAAAATTTTATATATATATATATATATATATATATATATATATATATACATACATACACACACACACACACGTGATTTTGCATTTATTTATTTCTGTGATCTGGGTATGCACACTTCTTACTGTTGCTGAATAGTATGCATTACAGGACTACCAAGTTTTTTGTAAAGCTGTAAAGTATAAAATCGGCTACTAATGCAGTTATATATTCATTAAAAATCATTAAATGTATTAGTAAATACAACTAGTGTACAACAACTGTCTACCCCCACCACCACCATAAACAGCTGTAAAACAAAATTCAGAGTGGGAAAAGAAGGTTTACCTAATGAGACTCTACTGCATGCACATATGCTGACAGGGAACATACTGACCGCACAGTGGTGTAAGTGAGCGGAGAAGGGATGGCCTATCATGGCCTATCAGTGTGTTCCTTTGCTACTACTTCATTGAATTCAATTGAACACACTTATAAATTCTCTAGCAGGAAACACAATTCCTGTTGATGTCTTTCAACTATGCATTTAAAGTCAACTTTCATAAGACAAAATGAACTAATCCACAACAGCCAATCAGAATTATTAGTCTGCCTTTTCTAGATGGGAGGCTCCCTGGGGTCTAATAGTCACTGTCCTGTCATCCTCCTGCTGTTCTGATAACATGCTTTCCCCCAGTCCCCAAGTCAAATAACAGACCCCCCAATGTATGTTTATATTCCTTTCTGCTTTGGGGCTGTTATAAATCATTCATAGGTCTGCATGCACAGTTATAAATCTTTTTTAAACTCAACTGCAATTGACTTCAACTGCAGTCGGTTAAAGATGGTGGTAGGAAATTCTTCCAGACTCTTACGGGGGTGGGGGAGAATTTCTAAATAAAGGGTACCAGTCATGCTGCTATTGTTTCAGGAATGGCCCCAGAGACATCAGGCCTCCATCTCGTTCTTGGGACCCACCGAGCGCCCTCCAGAGGAACCTGAGGAAAAGCCAAGACGCCCACCTCTTCATGTTAGGATATACCGAAGGCTTGCCAACTACTGGTCACCCCCAAAAGTTGGTAAGCTTTTCCTTTGTTTGGCATTTTTTTCTGATATGCTTCATCCGAAACATTGTTCATTGTGTAGGCAGCTGTGTGAAAATGTTGATTTACTGGGTTTCTGCATGAAATTGCTCCTAAAAATGCTCTGGGCTACATCAAAGTCTTAATAATAAACAAACAGTCTTATTTAGCTGACTACACATATGATTTTACTTTGCTATATCTGTACTGAACTAGTATTATAAACTATTGATGCCACGGACGGAAAAGGGACACAGTTAAATCTGAAGTCCAGTCATTTTTAAATTTGTGCAATAATTATAATGCACTATAAATTGTATATTGCTGATCAATAAATGTCACACACCAAAAACAAAGTCCAGTCATGGACCCCCTGCCTCCCTCTTAATGCCCAAGCTACTTACCTAAATTTGTGGACCCAAGAAAATACCAGGTCCCAAGTTACGGCACAGTGAGGGATGGCAACTCGTCCTGACAGCAAAATGAGTTGTCGAAGCTGGCTGCCACCTCCTGCTCCCCACACATACCTGCTGTCCATCGCTGTGGTGTCCTGCCTCTCTGGTCTGCAGTAATGTGTAAGAGGCAGGAAGGGGCTGGCAAGTATGCATAGGCACTCCTAGGTACCTGCAGGCAATATTTGTTTTGTTTTACCTTAACATTACAGGTCTTCTTTAAATGGATGAAATACCAGGTATTTGTGTGTTATTGTCCTCATGGTGACCCCAGTAGTGGGCACTTACAGTAAAATTCTGTATAGGCTGAGATTACAATTATTGACAGTATTTCCATCTTCCATTTTTCAGAGGTTCCTGTGGAAGCTCCTCCTGAACAGTGGGAAGAGGTTCAGCTTTCAGCGGTTGAGCTGACCATCAGTACCCAGAACTATCCTCCAGACCTAACCGTAAGTTTGTGACACATACAGCCAACCTACTGTATATGTGTCCTTCCCACACTTGAAAAAAAGAGCAAACAGATGGCGCAAACACCAAGTGCATTATCCAAGGTTTATTTAAAAGTCAAAAAGACGAAAACATACAGACATAGCATGTGTGTAAAGCTTTCTATGATAATGGAGATGGCCACAACAATGGGCAGGGTGTTCCGACTGTCAGTGTGGTCTGCTTACTGACGCTTTTTGGGGACAAATCCCTTTCCTCAGAGCTAGTCAAAAGGGATTTGTCGTAGTGGATAATGCATTAGGTGTTTGCGCCACCTGTTTGCTCTTTTTCCAGTTGTTGATTTCCCCCGTGTGAGGAAGATTGCATCCCCAAAGTGCTATCCATAGGCCACCTTTTGCCCTGGTTCCCCTGGCCTTCCTTTGGCAATTGATTCCTGGAGCGCTGGCCACCAGACGAGCAGGACCACCATATATGGACCTCATCTCCACGTTGGCCACAGCCCCTGAAACATCTATCACTATATGATGGGTTTGAATGAGCTATGCGGGCCGGGACCCAATACCAGCGGAGAAGGACTTTATAGGCTGCCTCCACAGTGACAGTATTGAAAGAACATTTGACTACAGCAGACCAGGCATTGCTCCAGTCCTCCAGGTCTATGGGGGCTGTTACATCTCATTCCCATTTAGAAATGTATTTCTTCATATTCAATTGTTGGTCATAACAGAATGGCATAATCATAAAACAAAACATGGTAACAAATAAACAAATGAATGACCCCTATTCAAAAGTCTGGATATCCTTAGTTGTTAATACTGTGTATTGCCCCCTTTAGCATCAATGACAACATGCAGTCTTTTCTAATTTTCTAGTTGTCTACGAGGCCCTGAATTCTTGCCTATTTGTCTTGGCAAAATGCCTTCAGGTCATGCAAAGTTTTTGGTTGTCTTGCATGAACCACACATTTGAGATCTCCCCAGCTTGGCTCAATGATATTAAGGTCAGAAGACGCTAATGGCCACTCCAGAATCTTCACCTTTTTCTGCTGTAACCATTGGAGAGTCGACTTGACCTTGTGCTTAGGGTCATTGTTGTGCTAGAAAGTCCAAGAGTGTCCCATGTGCATCTTTCGTGCAGAAGCAAATTATCTGGCAGTATTTTCTCATAACATGCTGCATTTATCTTGCCCTCAATTTTCACAAGATTCCCTGTGCCTTTAGAGCTATCACACCCTGAAAACATCAGTGAGCCACCACGCTGTACAGTAGAGATGGTATTCTTGTAGCTGTTGACCCTCTCCAAACCTAGCGCTTATGGTTGTGCTATCCATATCCATGGTTGTGACCATAAAGCTCTATTTTGGTCTTGTCACTCCATAATACAGTGTGCCAGAAGCTGTGAGGTGTGTCAAGGTGTTGTCGGGCAAATTGTAACCAGGCTTTTTTGTGGCATTGGCGCAGTAATGGATTCATTTTGGCATCTCAAACATGCAGCTCATTTTTGTTCAAGTATCGTCATATTGTACTCCGTGAAACAACCACACCATCTTTTTTTCCAGAGAAGCCTGAGGTTACCTGTGGGTTTTTTTTTTTTGTATCCCAAATAAGTCTTTGGCAGTTGTGGCTGCAATCTTTCTTGGTCTACCTGACCTTGGCTTGGTATCAAGAGATCCCCGAATTTTCCACTGCTTTATAAGTGATTAAACGGTATTGACTGGCAAGGCTTTGGATATCTTTTTGTATCCTTTTCCATTTTTATTAAGTTCCATTACATTGCTGTGCAGGTCTTTTGACAGTTACAGTATTTTCTGCTCCCCATGGCTCAATATCTAGCCTGCTCAGTGCATCCATGTGAGAGCTAACAAACTCATTGTCTACTTATACATAGACCTTAATTGCAATTTAAAGAGGAGCTCCACCCAAAAGGGGAAATTCCGCTTTAAGACTTTGTCCCCTGCTCAGGATTGGCACCTTTTGGGGAGCGGGTACCTGAATTTGCCAGGTACCCGCTCCCACTTCCGGGGCGATCGCCTAAGTTGATTGGAAGCGGAAGTTGTCCTCCTCCTCCCTCCCCATAGTCTTCTGAGACATGTGACAGGTCCCAGAAGACTACGGGACCATTCACAAAGCGCTGCGCTACTTGTGCATGCGCAGTGGCCACCCGGCTGTGAAGCCGCAAGCTGTCACAGCCGTGTGCATACACTGCAGATGCCGGGGAGAGAAGACGGCTGGTGAAATCAGCCATGGTGAGGACACCACTGGACCGCGGGAAAGATAAGTGTCTGTATTTTAAAACTCAGCAGCTACAGTTTTTGTAGCTGCTGCCTTTTTTTTTTGTTTGTTTAAATTCAACTGGAACTCCGCTTTAAAAAGCCACAGTTGTGGGAAATTAAACTTTAATGGCCATTTTAACCTGTGTGTGTCACCTTATGCGTCTGTACCAAGGCCAAACATTCCAAGGCATGTAAGCTTCTGATCACAGTCATTTGGGTGATTTCTGTTATTATGATTTAAAAAGGAGCCAAACAATTATGTGATAATAAATGCCAAAATTTCACTATTTCTGCCAGGGAAACTTTGCAGACTTTTGAGTACAACTGTATATTGGCAAGCTTGAAAAAAGGAGAGGCAGCATACAAAACAGATAAAGGGAACCCCATTTCCCCATAACATCCGCTTACTAGATTTCTGGCAAGATCAACATGTATTTTCTGCACCTATCGTACAGATAAAATAAATAATTTTCGTCAATTTTCATTTTTAAAATGATTGTAAAGATACGAGTTAAAAAACAAACATGTCATACTTTCCTGCTCTGTGCAATGGTTTTGCACAGAGCAGCCCTGATCCTCCTCTTCTCGGGTCCCCCACCAGCGCTCCTGGTCCCTTCCCCTCCGAGTGCCTCCAGAGTAAGCTGCTCGCTGTGGGGGCACTTGTGTGCTCGCTCCGGAACTGGTCCTTTATGTCCATAATTTCATCAAGTGAGACATTTTTGGACATCGGGCACTCCTCTCCATTCACCCAACTGTATGTTTATAAGACACACAGAGCACTACTCTGCTCTGCCCCCTCCTCACTGGCTGTGATTGAGGTAATGAGGAGGTAGAGACCTGGGAGAGCCGAGGTTCCTGTGCACATCGCTGGATTGGGATCAGTAAGTATTGGGGGAGGGAGGGGGCTGAGGGGGGAGCTCCACACTTAAAGGCTTTTTACATTCAAGCATAGAATGCATGAAGGTAAAACACCTTCAGCCTTTACAACCTTTAACAGACTAATTTGGAGCACATAGGTTTACATACATTTTAAGTGAATTTTGTGTTTATCCTGCAGTTTTCTGAGTCCATAGTCAATAAAATTTATACAATGTAAAAAAAAATAAAAATCTGCCATTTTATTTTTGCAGAATAGGCTCAATTCCCAATGCATGCACACCAGGATAAGTGTACTTCTTTTCAAAAAAGGGCATTTCTTTCAGTGGAGCCCCATGAGATTTAAAAGTCATATGGTTAATTGGACATTATCCTTATGTTTAAAGCTTTGTGAATTGAACTTAAAGCTAAAGTTTAATTGATTCCTATATTCCCCTTCAGCAACATTCTAATGTACTTTTTAAATACAGCATTGTTTCTTATTGCATACCTTTTTTTAGACCCAGTGACATCATCACTGGGTCTCTGAGGTTCTCTGCAGTGCAGCCATGGCTGGTGGGAAGGTCCAGCAGCGTGCTATACATAGCTTTCTGAAAACATTACAGCACCCTGCCTCAGTACACCTCTTAAAGTTCCCTTCGCCCTAACGAAAGCAGTGGGCTGGCTCTTGCAAATATGAAAATGCCTTGATGAATGAATGTTAGTCTTGAGTGGGAGTTTCTAGGCAAGCTGTATTTGCATGCATACCACCATATGTATTGCTGAGCGTCCATGATTAAAGAACACAAATACATTAAATGAAAGGGACTTGCAAGGTACTGTTGAGTATCAAAGGGCTAGATGATGCCAGATGTTCTTCAGCCAGGCAATAAGGTGAGCTTTATATGACTTGCTGCAGATTCTAATGCATACTGATAAGCACATGGTGTGAAGCAAAATCAAAGTAAGCTATTTTAGTACAAAAGACCCAACAACTGTCCAAGACTGAAGAGAACACTGGAATTCAGCTTTATTGTCTATTCTTATGTGCAGCGTTCTCTGGACTCCATGAGTATTTGCATTGAACCCGACACCATCAGCAAGTCTGAATTCATTCGTACTGGGTGAGTCATAAAATGACTTTGGTTTATGTAGCCACTTTGTTGTTTTTGTTCTTTGTCTGGCCATAATAAATCTCTTTTTCTTCTAGTATTGAGAAGATTAAAGATCCCCTGCAGTGCCCTAAAGATTCCCAGAAGCTCCACGCCAGCCGCTGCAGCATTCAGCTGCCACAGGTAAACACAGTCCCTAGAAAACAACATTCACAGGGACATCTGAGGACAGCCACTGTGGGCGGAATTATACTCAGCTATATTGCTTTATCCTCGTCATTTATTTGCAGGATGTTGCATAGAAAAGTGGAATATCTATGACCATTTATATAGGAAAGTATGAGGGTTTTGAGTCAATTTTATATACATTTTTTTACAGCTAGACTCCAGGCAGATAAACAGAACATAAATGAATGCAGCTCTGCATTCATTAATACATCAATAAAGTGGCATTGCCACCAGAGGTACTTACAAAAAAAAAACCCCAAAAAACAGCTGTCTTGTAAAAGAAGAAAAACTACACTTTCTGGTGGCCTGTGTCTTGAAACACTACTGCTCCAGTGCTCTCTGACACCACAGTTATTCCACACTTCCAGGGATGTAAATACCTACCTCTGCATGTAGTGGCTTCTCTTCCCAGTTTGAACATGAGCTGGCAGAAGGAACCACTGCATGCAGTGAGGGTAGCTGTTATTTGACCCATCTGACCACTGGAATACCTGCAATGGCTAGAGAGCACTAATATAAAAAGAACAAGCTATATGAGCGCTGGGTTGCGGTATAGATGGAGAGCTGCCAGCATAAAGAGGGAAACCTCAAGATCCTCCAGTGAAAATATAAGCAAGTGAAAATATGCAGCGCTAAAATGATATTAATGAACAATAAATATGCGTATATAAATAAATATGAAAATTAGTAAATATAATAATGGTATTCCAAACTGGCGTTTACCAAAGCTCATGAGGTAAAACTAGTCTTGGATAAAATCCCATAAGGTGCATAAAGTGACAATTGTGCTCTAGTCCGTATGATAAATATTGTGAATATCCGTGATTGTTGTGGCTGTGAAAATAGGTGTACAAAGCACTAACCAGACAGCCACAAGTGATTGTGCGTTGGAGTATATAAGACCTACTCCTTGGTACTCAGGGACTGGAACCTATGCACACGGGTAATGTCTTCAAGGCAGGAACCCACCACCAGGTGTCATCCATCCAGGACAGCTTACCAGTCTCCAGCAGTACAGATCTCAGCCATCAGGACAGGTTAACAGTCTCCAGCAGTACAGATCTCAGCCATCAGGACAGGTTAACAGTCTCCAGCAGTACAGATCTCAGCCATCGGGGGGATCATGCAAATATGCATAGATCAGGTAGGAAGAAGCACCTTAGGAGAAAGGGGGCTCGCCAGTGAAAGAAACGAGCCCAAGAGAAGAAAAGCTCCAATAGTGTAGTAATTTATTTCTTCAGGTATAGGTGACAACAAAAAACAAAAAATCAGACACTTACATATATCAATCCAATAGAGCCACCGGCCATAAGTGAGGCCATCCGGGGTGAAGGTTAGGTGCACCTCCCTAACGCATTTCGTGTAACACACACTTTATCAAAGGAACTCTATAAAGAGAGCACTAATGTTTGAAGACACAGGCTGTCGAAAAAGTAAGCATAGTGTCTCTTCTTGTACAGGGCAGGTGTTTCTATGTAAGTGCCCTTTGGTGACAGTGGGCTCAATTCACTATGGAATATCCTTTGAGATAATTGGATCACCCGACACATTTTTTTTCCAGTATTCTCATGCGATACTCAAAATGTCAATGCACTGTCAGTTTTTGTGATATTTACCGCACTAGTAAAAAAAATGCATAAACTGACTCTAAAGTAAATTTACTAAATAAATAAATATATATATAAATTTGTTGAATAAGGTGTGACTTAGCCATTTGTTATTCAAGGAATAACAAATTTAAATTCAATTGGCGCTGTTGTTAAGGAGCTGGCACCCACCGGTATCCTTAAAAAACAGTAAACAACATAGTTGTTAAGGAGCAGGCGGTCTGCGCGTCCTTAACAAACATGACTTATCTGCTGTCAGTGGGGTCTTCTGCTGTCATTTAAAAATTAAAACAATAACAGCAAGGGGGGTCCCCCCCAATCTTTACCAGGCCCTCTGCTATTGGTCTGGAATTAATTTTAAGGAGAATCCCTCTCCAAAATGTATTTTTTTTTTTTTTTTTTTTTTAATTTTGAGCATGCAGTCCTGCAGGCCAGGAAAGGCGGGAGGGGTACCTCCTAAACCATACCAGGCCACATGCCCTGAACATTGGGGGGTAGGTGCTTGGCTGCAGTGCTGATCGAAGCAACATTTTCCAACAAACCCGTTCATGAGCAGTCAATCGTTAAATCGACTTCTCATAAATGGGTAAAGCCAGAGATGGTTGAAAATGCAGCTGGTCCCTGCTGCACTGGCTAAATTTTGATCCATCAATGGCCAGCTTAACTCTATTGCTCGGCTAATCTGATATCTCTGCTACTCAAAAGCTTTTTGCCAGCATGGCAGTAAAACCAGCTGGATAAGGCTGCTGTTTTGGATCTTGCCTAGTTTGGATTTGCAATTGGTTTACCTAAATAAAAGAAATTAAAAATGTATTTTTAATATCTGAACATGACAAATCAGTTTTAGGGAATGTATTGAATAAAATCCCTTCCAGATAGCCTGCTTATTTAAAAGCAAGGGTAGGTTATTGCAAATATAATTATATTCAAATTGTTTGGCTGGTAATGGGGTACAAACTAGGGCGACTTTAACACAATATGTTTTTGCTAACTACAAGCCTGTGTCCTGTAATTATCTCATGTCTGCTCTCAGCGTTCCCTGCTGTGTACTCATTCAGTAGTTTCCTGAAACTTTTCAATTCAATCTCAGCAGTATGGCTCAGTTTGAACCTGCTAAAGTTACAGACAGATAACTCAAGCATGGCTTCTGCTGGGACTTGGCCTTCACATTAAAAGGAACCTCTAATGGGCACTGCTCTTGTGAACTTGTTTAGGGGCCACACAAATGGCAAAGCACATTGCATGCATTGATGCAGCATGACGTTTTATGAACGGCACCCCAATGCACCTTACCAATGGACATGCATTGCACTGACAGAAATGGTACATGCAGCTTTTTGTTGCCTTAGCAGCCCATTCATTTTAAATGGGCTGCCTAAACACAATACATGTTGAAAGGTCATGGCATAGTGTATGTGCATTAATGAGCCCTAAAGGTGCAAGCTCCAAGATTATCCCGACCCTTTTTGCTATTTGGCAGGTCAGTTGCCTAGAATAAGCAAGCTCATATTGGATGTCCCAACACTTCGTTAGCTGCATGCTTGTTCCTGGTCTTTAACTCACAAAATGGTCAAAGGATTCAAATGACAGCAGCATCATAAACGAGTCAGTGGTGGCATTTTCCATATTTATTTTCCCAGCTGGTTTCATTTAAAACAAATTTGTCAACCCTTCAAGGAAATTAAATTCACTTGTCTAATCAAATCAAAAATATGCAGCGCTATATGTTAGAACACACAAATAATAGAAATGGTATAACAGCGCTGTAAAGCTCTAAAATAAAAATCAAGTGCAATGAGCGTCTAAAAGACGTTATAATGTGCAGGTAGTGAATTCCAACATTAGAGTGTTATAAACAAGCACATAAGTCCCCAAATCCATATATAGGTGCAAATTGTGACTCTAGTGATGAATATACAGGTGAAACTCAAAAAATTAGAATATCGTGCAAAAGTTCATTTATTTCAGTAATGCAACTTAAAAGGTGAAACTAATATATGAGATAAACTCATTACAGGCAAAGCAAGATAGTTCAAGCCGTGATTTGTCATAATTGTGATGATTATGGCTTACAGCTCATGAAAACCCCAAATCCACAATCTCAGTAAATTAGAATATTGTGAAAGGTGCAATATTCTCGGCTCAAAGTGTCCCACTCTAATCAGCTAATTAAGCCATAACACCTGCAAAGGGTTCTTGAGCCTTTAAATGGTCTCTCAGTCTGGTTCAGTAGGAATCACAATCATGGGAAAGACTGCTGACCTGACAGTTGTGCAGAAAACCATCATTGACACCCTCCATAAGGAGGGAAAGCCTCAAAAGGTAATTGCAAAAGAAGTTGGATGTTCCCAAAGTGCTGTATCAAAGCACATTAATAGAAAGTTATGTGGAAGGGAAAAGTGTGAAGGAAAAAGGTGCACAAGCAGCAGGGATGACCGCAGCCTGGAGAGGATTGTCAGGAAAAGGCCATTCAAAAGTGTTGGAGACTTTCACAAGGAGTGGACTGAGGCTGGAGTCAGTGCATCAAGAGCCACCACACACAGACGGATCCTGGACATGGGCTTTGTCGTGACGGCAAGAGTGACAATTTTGAAGGTGGGGGGGACCGCTGTTTGGTCAGCTCATGTCCCCCCGAGACATTATGTTTGGAAAGGCACCCTGTGCCTGTTAAGGGTTACATGGAGGTGTGTATGTGAATGTCTGAGTTTCCATTCTGTGTGATTTATATCTGTGTGTTGGTCCATTGTCTTTTAGTCCAGGGTGCAGCCCCCATTGATTTCTGGAGCACTTCATGTCCTCCCTGTCCAGCGGACAACTATTATGGGATGTGACTTTTGTCCAGCAGGTATTGGTGTGCCAAAAGGGGTTGGGGATTATGTCCTTTGCCACAAAACTGGTTGCATCCCATTGAGAAATTCTGTGTCTGGTTGGATGGGGAGAAGGGTGATTGAGGTGTTTCCTGTCCCTGGTTGTCTTTAGCTTCCCGCCCTCTGCATATAAAACATGTTTTGTGTAAAATAAAGTTAGTACATTGACTTCCTGTTTTAGTAAGAGCTGTATTGTCTATGTCTATTTTCCTGATGTGGGTTATTCCGAGGGTGTGGTCCGTGATGATTGTGGATTTGGGGTTTTCATGAGCTGCAGGATTCATCACAATGGACAAAACCCAGGATGTAACGAGTCTATCTCATATATTACCCTAAGTGCAATACGGGTAAATGAACTTTTGCACGATTATACATTTTTCGAGTGGCAGCTGGTGGATTGATTGTGCTTCCAGCTGTAAACACATCCAAAACCACCACCTGGGGATTCAAGAGAAGGAAAAGACGTCAGTCACCCCAGTAGTAGTTGTAGATATGGACCTGGCATCAGAGTTCCCAGGGCTGGATCAGATCATCCTTGCAACATACCCCAGGACTGTGTCTACGGATCAGTACCTGGAGAGGCTCGCAGGCAGCGGATTTGGGAGGTATTATTGGAGGAGAGCGGTCCAGGCTGCTGGTATGGACAATAGGCAAGTGCTACCCAACCCCAGGGGAACGGGCCAGGGCCAGCCATCGAAAGCTACGGATGATGCCATTCCTGGGAGAGCGACCCCAGGAGCAATGGTCTGGCTGAGTTGGACAGGCTGGTCCAGCAGGAGATACAACTGGACAATAGATATCGGGCTCTGCAGTGGTACGCTAAAACAGAGCAGGAATATTTAGGGGTGTCCACAGAGTGCTCTCCTGAGAGGACTTGACTTTGTGGGCCTGGATTGCTGTGGGAGAGCCTTACAGACCTTTTTGTGTTTGGCGATAGAGGAGAACCTACTCTGAAGGAGTTACGAGAAGGCAGAGAGGCTATGTTCAGGTCTCACAGGGGTCTCAGAACTTGAAAACCAGATCTGAATACCTGCTGAAGAAAGAACTGGATCTAGTAAGGGCATACAGGCAGCTGCTAGGACATGTTCAGCAGCATGCCCAAGAATCAGCAGTGGAAATTCCAGAGACTGGGGATCTGATAGACCTCTCAGCTGAGGAGGAACCCAGCAGTAGACCTGGCAACAGGGCCAAACAGTACTGAACTCTGCCCAGCACTGGTAATGTCTCCTGAGTTCCACAGACAGGAGATGGTGAGCCCCGATCCCCAAACCCCAGTTCCAGAGGCTGGGGATTTGATTAACTTTTTTACTGATGATGAGGAACCAGCCAGGGAGCTGCCAGCTGAAGCGCTGACAACCGGACAGAGGATCCAGGACCTCTGCCCCATGCCTGTGGTAGTTTCAGAGGCCCAGGGTGAGAAGGGAGAGGAGGTTGTTGTCCTCCCTCCCCCAGAGTCAGCCAGAGTGGAGGAAGTCAGCCTCCCTCCCCCACGGTTAGCCGGAGCAGATGTGAGATCCCCAGCAGAAGTGCTGGCAACAGGGCAGAGCGCCGCTGGCCTCTGCCTAGCAACTACAGCCACCACCTGGATACCCCAGGGATGCTGGGTAGTCGGCCCAGATCCCCTACAGAAGGATGGAGTCGGCCCAGCCACCCTGTCTTCTCTCCAGCGGCTGAGAGGATTTCCGGGAGAAGGACCAGTCCGTACTTCTCCCCAGCGGCGGGTATGTTCTACGGGAGAGGCAGAGGTTGGCTGGGTGAGTAACGCTTGGTGTGGGACAATTTGTTTGGGGTACTGTGTGGGTGCCGGCTTTGGGGGACTGGAGGTGCAGAGTAACTTCAGAGTACATCCGTCTGGGATCTACTCCTGTGTTACTCTCCTACCGAAAGGGGAGATATGTGACGGGAGTGACTTTTGGGGGTGGGGGGACCGCTTGGTCAGCTCATGTCCCCCTCATTATGTTTAAGGCACCCTGTGCCTGTTAAGGGTTACAGGGTGTGTATGTGAATGTCTGAGTTCTGTGTATAGTGTGTTGTCCATTGTCTGTTTACCATGTGCTACCCCCATTGTGCTGTGTCTCCCTGTCCAGCCAACTATATTATGGGATGTACTGTTTGTGTATTGGTGTGGGGGTTGGGCAATGTCCTTTGCCACATGGTTGCATCCCATTGTTCTGTGTCTGGTTGGATGGGGAGGGGTGATGAGGTGTTTCCTGTCCCTGGTTGTCTTTCCCCCGCCCTCTGTATAAAACATGTTTTGTGTACAATAAAGTTAGTTGACTTCCTGTTTTAGTAAGAGCTGGTTGTCTGTCTATTTTCCTGAGGGATTCCGAGGGTGTGGTCCGTGGATGGTGTTCGGACAGGGGAAGCTTCAGGATAACGGAATATACCCAAGTGCGGTCGGGTACCGGTTCCGTTACAGGCTTCAAATGTCGTATTCCTCTTGGCAAGCCACTCCTGAACAATAATCGTCAGAAGCGTCTTACCTGGGCTAAAGAAAAAACAGACTGTTTGGTCTGTTGCTCAGTGGTCCAAAGTCCTCTTTTCTGACGAGACACCTTTTGCATCTCATTTGGAAACCAAGTACCCAGAGTATGGAGGAAGAATGGAGAGGCACACACTGCAAGATGCTTGAAGTCCAGTGTGAAGTTTCCACAGTCTGTGTTGATTTGGGGAGCCATGTCATCTGCTGGTGTTGGTCCACTGTGCTTCATTAAGTCCAGGGTCAACGCAGCCGTCTACCAGGAGATTTTGGAGCACTTCATGCTTCCTTCCGCGGACGAGCTTTATGGGGATGCTGACTTCATTTTCCAGCAGGACTTGGCACCTGCCCACACTGCCAAAAGCACCAAAACCTGGTTCAATGACCGTGGGATTACTGTGCTTGATTGGCCAGCAAACTCGCCTGACCTGAACCCCATAGAGAATCTATTGAGCATTGCCAAGAGAAAGATGAGAGACATGAGACCGAACAATGCAGAAGAGCTGAAGGCCGCTATTGAAGCATCCTGGTCTTCCATAACACCTCAGCAGTGCCGCAGGCTGATAGCTTCCATGCCACACTGCATTGAGGCAGTAATTGCTGCAAAAGGGGCCTAAACCAAGTACTGAGTACATATGCATGCTTTTACTTTTCAGAGGTCTGATATTGTTCTATGTACAATCCTTGTTTTATTGATTGCATGTAATATTCTAATTTTCTGAGATTGTGGATTTGGGGTTTTCATGAGCTGTAAGCCATAATCATCACAATTATGACAAAATAGGCTTGAACTACCTTGCTTTGCATGTAATGAGTCTATCTCATATATTAGTTTTCACCTTTTAAGTTGCAATACTGAAATAAATGAACTTTTGCACGATATTCTAATTTTTCAAGTTTCATCTGTATAGATGTAGATTGCCCTAACCAGATAGCGCAAACAAATGCGCAATTGAGTATTTAAACCACTCCTGGTCCTCTGGTAACAGAAGGATGAACATCCACAGCTCAACTGGCCAACCAGCAGAAAGACAAGTAGTTGTAGGATCATCAGCCTCCAGGGATCAGGAATCACTTAGCCATCCACCAGGGGGATCACACTCATTGTACGATACATAGCCACCAGGGGGACCTCTCTCAAAGGCAGGTAAAAAGAAGCAGCAAAATCCACCTTGAAGAGAGGCTCGCAATCAAACGAGCCAAAACAGAACTTTCTTGATAGTGTATTATATGTGGCAATTTTAAAATAAATAAATAGTTCCAAACAAGCAAGCATTGAGCACTCCCAGTAGGGAAAAGGACATCAAAATGGCCGCCAGCCTAAAACACATGGCCTGAGCGGCATGATGTCACACCCTGGCACCTCCCTCCTAAGGGATGTTCCCTCACTCTTCCTGGTGTGTCTCTGGGATAGGAAGTAATAGGGAAATTTCCCCACAGAATACAGAAAGCACAAAATCTGACGGGTTACATTTTCCCACTGTATCCAAAGCTAAACAGAAATGCTCAGACTTTACATTTTCTTTCATATTAAATAGTTATGTTTACAACTTTTGTGCTGTTTGCAGAGCAATTTGTTCCAGTTCCTTTATATGCATCTCTGACAGCAAGACTGATCCTATCAGCTTTGCAATTAACTACAGCATATACTTGGATGGGGGCATTTATTTTCCCCAGAGAAATTGACTTGTGTTTTCTTTTTTTAATAACAGGACACAGCCGGCCATTTCAGTATAGACTCTGAAGAGTATGAAGCTATGGCTGTAGAGGTGACACTTCTGCCAAGAAAGTTGCATTTCCTGTGTCATCCATCCCAAAAAGAACATTTTACCCAGACTGCAGCACCAGCATAATTATTTATATCTGTACATTCGCCAGCAATAAGCTGAGATCCCAGGTTCCTTCGGGCACTGGACCAGGAGCATGGTAGTCACTGAGAGGAGGGATACCTGAAATGTAATGTATATACTTCCATAAGTCATTCACAGTACAGGTCAGCATGCCCTGTCTGCTGTTTACTAATGGTATACCCCATCCATTTTTTTAATGTTGGTCATGCTCAGTTGTGCGCTCTGGACTCTCCAGCAATGCCATTTGTGTTTAAGACCAGAGTTATTGCAAAACTTCTAATCCAAGTAACAGGTTTACTTGGGGATATAAAAAAAAACAACTATTAAATAATTTTACTTCTGCATAAAAACATGTCTTGTGTGAAGGTTTTAGCAGCATTTCTGCAACATATATTACAAGTAACTATGCTTTTTTTGGTATTCACTGTCAGCTAGATGTTAAAGCAGATCTCCAGCCATGTTATATGTCCTCCCCCCGCATATTTTTTTTAATAACTCTTATACATACCTTCTAGCTGGTATGATGATACCACCATTGATTCTTCTCCTTCCAGTGGTAGTGGGACAGTCTTCTCATGTAATGATGTGTTAGTGCCACTCAGTTTTGAAGTACTACAAGTCCAGCCAGAGTACTGATGCACCCCAAGGCAGAATTACAGCGTATCATTCTGCCCTTAAAGTGGTTGGTTGTAAAGGCTCACTTTTTTTTTTTTACCCTCATACATTCTATGCATGAAGATAAAAAAAAAACCAAAACACAACCTGTGTGCAGCAGATTTCTCCCTCCTCATTGGCTGAGACAGCCGTGGGAGACATTGGCTCCTGCTATTGTCAATCATGTGCTCCTAGCACGTGTCGGTGTCCCACAGAAAGGTCCCGGCCTCTCCTTGCTATCAGGGCCTTTCCGATCATGTGCCTGCCAATCACTGCAGTCACATGACCCTAAACCCCACTTCCACTATCAGAAACCACTTGAAGGGGCCAGCATGAAGGGGTTGAGAGGAGTGCCAGGACAGAGAAGGAAGTCGGTGGGAGCATAGGGTAAGTGAAAAAAACCAAGTACTTTTTTGTGCTACTACTTAGCTAAGTAGCATCTCCTTTACTTCCTGTCCTTGCAACACCCAACCTCATAAGACTCTACCTATAAAGAACAGGCAACATTCCAGCTTGACATGAATTGAAGCCCATTAATAAATAATTTTAAATGCAGAAAGTTTAACTATTTACGTGGAAAATTATGATCTCCAGCTCCTGGTGTATGTCGGCAAAATTGTAATGTGCTAACCCAGCAATATCCAAACTGTGGCTGTTTGCTTGCCTTTACCTGTCTCCTGGGGCACCTTTCCTCCCACTGACACCAATGATGAGGAACTATTCTTCCCATTAATACCAATGATGGGACATTGAGGAGTGCACTGTGATCAATGGGAGTAAACTGGCCCTATGTTTAGAAAAGTTGGTCTAAATTGTGTGCAAATAGCCATGGTGAGGACCATGTGAGATGCTTCTTCAGACACCTAATAAACTGATTGTTTGTAGTTCTATGATGGGAACAGAGAAGCATGCTTGGTTTCTTCTGATAGTGAAAAATAAATAAATCAGGTGAGTATATCATAAGGTTGGTCTAAATTGTGTGCAAATAGCCATGGTGAGGACCATGTGAGATGCTTCTTCAGACACCTAATAAACTGATTGTTTGTAGTTCTATGATGGGAACAGAGAAGCATGCTTGGTTTCTTCTGATAGTGAAAAATAAATAAATCAGGTGAGTATATCATAAGGTCTTAAAGTAGAACTATAGGCAAATTCCCCCCTCCCTAATTTTGGATAGAGCAAGGGAGGGTTATAACCCCCGTCTTTTTTTTTTTTTTTTTTGCCATTAGGGAGATTTACATTCACTTCCTGCCCCATAGCTAAAACAGGACGTGAGAGGGAACCCCTGCAATTTAAGGGCAACAGGCCTAGTATCCCTATTGGAAGATTTCCTATTACTTTTGTCAGGACAAACCAAAATTTGGGATTTTTTTTTTTTTTACACTTTTAATGGTTACAGGACACACAGAGGGTGGTTCTCCCTAATAGGGTTTTTTTTATTATTATTTATTATTGCTGTCTGTGCCCCTAATAGGTGTTCTAATCCATCTCCAGTCTGCAAAACTTTAAAAGACTGCCTTTGATTATACTTTAACAATGTGAAGACAAGGCTGGTTCACCTAAACTTTTTATGGAATGTTAATATATCAGGAACTCTGCCCACTAAGCATACAGCACTATTACGCAAGACCTTGGAGGGATATAAACCTTGTCCACTCTGTACAAAAGGGGGAAAATAAGGGTGAGCTTTGACCCATTAACACACATTGTATAATCTATTGTCACATTCATATTACACTTTAGGTTGCCTTTAATAAAAGACAGGACTACAGTTTTGAGTCAATATGATTTTATTGTTCAAACACAGTGTATTCCTTCCTGTATTGCTAAGTGGTTGCTGGTTTCTTTCTGACAGTTATAGCCTGTACCCAATACACCATACCTGAACACAGACAGAAGGCAAACAGTCCTAAATATGAATCTGTGCTACAATATAGTGTCTGAATAGAACACCAGCAGCTATGATCTTTGGCCACAAGGAGGGGGGTTCCACCAACTCTTTATCTGAGCAGTGTTACATCAATCTACAGTTATGTCTCCATCTACAGAAATCCTAGTTTTAGAAGGACCACTTTACACACATTTCTAACAAAAAAAAAAAAACCTGCTTGTGGTAGATTTCAAATTAGTGGAGGAAGAATACCATTTCACACAGAATATACTCTGCATATAATTTTGTCTTGAAATCTAAATTTCTGTGTAAGTGAAAGTAACACATCTGTAATATTGGCTATATCGGTTTCCATTCTGACTGTCAGCTCTTACAGGCAATGTAAAAACAAATGTGATTAAATAGTGTGTATACAACAGGAAAATTACAGATGAAAAAAAGTTGGAGGCTATAGAAACAGGAATCCTTGCTATTAATAAACCCAAAAACCAAATATGTCAGAGTGTAGATTAGCAATCATTAGATATGGTGGCTGCATTTGTGTAAGACTTTTTTCCACCCTCTGTTTTTACCTGGTGATGTGACTAGTACCACCCTCCTGTATTAGAGAGCCCCCACTCTGGATGAAGACGCACAAGGAGCATTTTGAACAGCAGCATTGTTAATCAGGTGGAAGTTTTAGATGTTATTAAATTTAGATACACTAACCAATTGAAGCCAAACTCCAGCTCAAACCTTGTAAGACATTACAGCAAACAGGTTTTTTTTTCCTTTTGGGATATAGGTTTTTACATAAATAAAAGCTGATCATTGTAAGCACTCCTGGCAGTGGTACATGGTTTATCCTCCCTGCTACATCTTTCGAAAAGCAAACTTAGTGGGCCAGATCACCAGGTAAAAATAAGGCAAAGAAAATGAATGCAGCCATTACATCGAAGAATTGGTAAGCTGCAATATAATAAATATTTGCTTTAGGGTTTAATATGACTGTAACTGAAGCCCAACCCTCTCAGCCAATTATTAACCCGCAATAGAGGTTAGGATTCAGCCCAGGTTCACACTTGTGGTGCGGCACGTCACATGTAATCTGTACAGGAACCACACTGCATTCCTGTGCAAATCACATGCAATTTCTGTGCAGTGCAATTTGAGCCATACATTTTGTATGGCTCAAATCGCACTGCATCCACATCAAAAAAAGTGCAGGACCCTTTTTTAGTCCGCACCAGAATCGGATTGCATGGTTGTTCATGGTTGTTCACATCCATACAATCCGATTCTGCACATCGCACCACATTTTGTGAACTGATCTCGGGGTGTTAACTTAAAATACACACCCACAGCAGTTAGTATGAATGGGGTGCAATTATAATGCAGTGCAGAAATCACACAAGAAACCGATGCGAATTCTGCACCGCATCAGTGGGAACCCGGGCTCAAGGGACACCTTATTTGATATAAGTCTACCTCTGTTACAATCAGTGCTTCCTATAGATGACTTGGGGAAAGAAATATTAACATGTTGAAACTTTGATTACCCCATGTGACAACATTCGGGAATGGCAATTGGCCACTCAAGTCTAGCAGATACTTCAAAGACCTTCCCTTCTAAAGCGAGGGCAGGATGACTCCAAACAGAGCGAGAAGGTTGAAAGTCAGCAGAGTAGACACTTTGGGACAGGTAGGCCATCAAGAGGCACTGCTTAGATAGACAAAATGATAGTATCCATTTAAATTGAAAACATTTTGAGGAAATTAGTAAAGAAAAAAAACCTCACACCCCAGATTTCAGCCACTTCATGAAGGCAAAATTGATAGAGCTGGGCCTTCTCCTGGGTCCCGCTGACTAATCGAAATCCAGTACATACTGGGGTTTTTTTTGTTTTGTGTTTTTTTTTTTTTTTTTTTTTTTTTTTTTTTTTAGTATGCAAGGTCTTTAATCCTGTGAACAGCATAGGCACAAAACATTTCATTGCTATGGGAACAGCCATGACATACTGTATAGGATTATATTAGAAGGTTTGTAGATTGTGTACACTAAAAGTAATCTTCCTAATCAGGTATTCATGAACTTGAGCAACTGCAGCTCAGACCCTGTGTAGTGTGTGTTTTCTTCTCTAGCCTCTAAAGCTGTGTACCTGCCCAAGCACCAACCTTAGAGGGTGGGCACAGCTGTGACTACACCTCACTGTTCCCTCAATCTATAAAGAAATCCATCCACAAAGCAGTAACTCCATACCGGATACAGGCCCCACTTTATTAACATCCATCTGTAGGCAGCATTACCCTGTGCAACCTGGTTTACTTTCCTGTACAGCTTCAGACTAGGCACATTATAGAATTACATATATAATATATACATACAACAGTCAATGCTTTCATACACCAAATAAGATCCAGTCTCCCTTGAGCTTGGGCACTTCATAGAAAAATAACCATTTAAATACTTTACAGCATA